GCTTTCTTCCCACTGACATACTGTGTGGATGCGGAAAATTAGTGCTTCTGTTTACAAACATGATCTTGATCTTCCCTATAAGTAATAATTAAGTCAAAGCATCTGTGTTTTTCCTCTTAATTCTTTTTCATTCCTAATTCAGTCTTAGTTGGAGTTAAAAGATACTTTGCCGTTAATATATTTTTTTCTAATACAGTCTTAAATAAATACATTATCTGCATATTGTTAAACATGATTTTTTTTCTTTCCTTTTTTAAATTTCAGGCAGTGTGTTAGATATGGCCCTGGAAAGCTTGTTGCATCGTCTTCGTGGTTTGTGTGACAACATGGAACCTGAGACGTTCACAGACCATGAACTGGTGTATCTTCTGAAAGGCCAGCAAGGAAGCCCTTTCGTTCTGCGCGCTCGCCGCTCCCTCTCCCACCAAAACGCTCCGTGGCACCTACGCTACCTTGGCCAACCCGAAGTAGGAGACAAGAGTCGGCATGCCCTCGTACGCAACTGTGTCGACGTGTCGGCTTCTCACAGCCTTCCCGAGTTCCTCAACGAGATGGGTTTCCGCATGGACCACGAGTTTGTGACCAGTGGCCACATATTCCGCAAAGGTGCTATGAAGGTTGTGGTGTGCAARGTGTCCCGTGTCCAGGTGCCAGGGAACACCGAGAGCACGGAGCGAATGTCAAATTCACATTTAGTTGAGCTGAGCGTGTTGGCTCCGGCTGGTCAGGACACTGTGTCGGAAGACATGCGGAGCTTCGCTGAGCAACTCAAACCTCTGATTCACCTGGAGAAGATCGACCCGAGCAAGCAGAGACATTAAAAMTTCATTTAGTTGTGGTATTTCCTAGCTACGGTTTGTATTTTTGTTTTTGGTGTGTTTTGTAGTAAATAAAATACAGCTCTACTTTGACCTAAAAAATATACTTTTAGTTGGTTTTGTCTTTCAAGTTAATTTTGGGTGATCAATGATCGGACTTAGACGAGAAGCTGATTGTAGAGCTTATCCATCTTCACAAAGATCTGAAAATCAGCCATCGTCCTCTTTTGCTCTGCTTTGAAAGAGCGCTGTCGTCCAGCTAAAACAGGTTTGTTTTCAGTATTTTTCAATAAAATGAGACTGGAACATTGAAGGTGTGTAACCTTATAACACCTGACAGTCATTTAAAAAAATCTATTGGCCAAAATTAAAATCACCAGGCTTTTTAAAAATTGGTGATTGACCAGAAAAATGCGATCGGTGCACCCCTATAACTGTCCATCATACCAAGTTTTAAAATCTTATATCCAGTCAAAAAATCTTTTTGATCTTGTTTTGAGACAGATTTACTAAACCAGAACTGATTGTATGAGAATAATAATCTTGTTTTTAGAATGTGTAAGATTATTTCTCTTGTTAGTCTGAAAATTTGACTCAAGTCAAATAATTTCTGCCAATGGAATAAGAAAAATTTACTTGGTAAAACTCTTGAAATACTTGATTTGACTCAATTTTTTCTTATTTCAAGAATAGTAATCTGCAAAGTAATGCATACAATGCCTTTTCTTGTTTGTTTTGGCTAATATGGATCAGCTATAGTGGCCATCTTTGACTGAATTAAGTCCCAAACCTAATTGTAGATGTACACTAAATAATGATTTCCTAAAAGTTTCATCAAAATCTGTACTGAGATGTTTTGCTATCATTCAAAGTTGACTTAAAAGTTGAAAGCAAAATTATAAAGTAATAATTTGTGTAATCTGTTAGCTCTCATAATATGTGCTGTGGATCAGCCTCAGCTACTACCACATGCAACTTTAGCTCAGTATCTTTAAAACTGACTGATTTATTGRCAGCTTTATAAGCTCATTTGCCTTTGATGACCATCTGGGTTAATCAGTCAGAATTATGTCCAATGATGAGTTTCTGTGATTCTATAAAATGGATCTAGTGGTTTATGAGATATTTTGCTGTCTGTTGAWGAACATCTTTACATTTAAAACAATTTTGCAAGCTTCTCTCAATCAGTCCCAGCTCTTGTTATGAGCATCAATTTGCAAAAGATCTTATGTTAGACCCACTTCACTTCGGTTTATTCACACCACTAGGGGTCTCTCTTTCACTTGTTTCCACCTTGATTGGAGCAAATTGAATGCTACCTCTCATCATCTACAAGAGCTCTGGTTGCCATGGAAATAATTAGCTGTGAGATCTGCACATCTTTTACCTCACTCTAATTAGCTTTCTCAATTGCTTAATGATACATAGACCTGTGAAAGCCTTTCTTTCTTTCCCTCAACAAAAGCATTGATTTCCACTCTCTTCCCCTCTCGTTTCTACTGTTAACCCATTAGTACCCCCCTTTACGCAAGAACTTGAGCTGGAACTATTACACATGAAAGCCCTACATCTGCCTCAGGTTCTTAACTGTTCCTGATGAAATCGAAAAAAAAAAAAGGCTGTTTGCAAGTGTGTCAACATTATGGCCAATTGCCTGCAGAGACGGAAGTAACTAATGCACATCCTGTCAGTTATGATAATAATGTTGGCAAAAAGACATGAGTGCTTCTAATAATACCCTTGCAGGAAGATGCATTTGCTGGAGTTGAGATGTAAAGTGACCATGTGCATGTCTGAGAGGAGAGCTGGAGGGCCGATGGCTGTCTCTGCACGTTGACCTACCTGCATATCAAGGCTGATGAGGACGAGCTCGCTGAGGTGGAAAGGTGAGATGACATTGCTTCCACGTGCATTTAGTGCACTTTGAAATGCACTCGAAAAGTATCCGAAGGGATTATCAGGGTATCGTTTTTAAAGACAATCTGATTTGCCCTTATCCATCCTGTTTTAAATATTTACTTTTTAACCCTCTTTTTGTGTGCAGGGTCACAAGGAGCTGGTGCCTTTCCCCCCAWAGAAGTCATTGTGTTAAAGGTAGACCACCAGCCCGCCACATAAACACAAAATATTCATGTTCTCACTCACACCTAGTGATAATTTAACATTATCGATGAACCTAATGGATATTTTATGGTTGATTAACTGAATTTTAAATTATCTTTATCTTACATTTTTAATTGGTCGTAGCCGTTTGCTTTAAATTATAAGAAAATGTGTCATTATTTAGCAGTCAAATTCTGATTGTAGACTTGCACATGCAAAGTGACCACACATAACTCAGATCTGGTCCACTTCCTGCAATATCCACCCTGGTAAATGACCCATGAACAACACGTAACCCACAGCTTTATGTCAGAGTCAAGTCCCACCCTAGATATGATGTCATAGACCTAAAACAAGGAAGTAAACACAACATGTAAAGCATTACGTGTTTATACAATTGGAGCGAGGCACGTATTAAGATAGACACTTGTAGAGTCTCTGTTTAAAGTAAATGATTACAATTTTCACAAAGTATAAAGTACATCTAAAATTCAGTTAATCTGTTACAAAAAAAAAATAAAACTTAACTAGCACCAAGTTTTTGGTCTGTGAGCGGAGAACATACAAACATGATGCAGAAAGGCCACAGTCGAGTTTTCAGCCTGCGACCCTCTGTGAGGCGACGGCCGCACACGCAYTCTGTGCTCGGTCGAATCCAATTTAATATTTGACATGTTCGACAAAGTTTTCTCTTGGTGAAAGTGGACTATCTGATGGAGACAGGTTCTCGTTCRAGCAACAAGAAGCAGACTACCGACCCTCAGGACTAAATCATGATGTTTCAGCTCCCAGTGAATTATGCATTAAAGAGGCAGATGCCTCCTTGCCTAAGGCTTTATATGTCCAGCATGGATACACTACAGTCTGCTGACTTTCTTCCACTTAAAGTTGTGTTTAGCACAGTGCTCTTTAGCGATGAGCTGGAGTCCCACTACACCTCCACTCCACATTGCCAGGAGAGCACAGGCATAGCTAGGCTAATCAGCATCTTGGCATCAGGCCTGCTTGGCTTTAGTGGATTTTGCCAAGCACTGACTTACACGAGTGAGGGATTTGAGCTCTTCCTAAGATAATTTGATGAACTGCAATAAAGAAACAAAGTAAAACCTTCAAATAAAGTATGATAAAGAAAGTCCATTCAGTTTTCACAACTAGATTATCAGTTATCAGTACGATGTTTTGAGTAACTGTATTCTGTTAAAACTGTCCTGTTTAGCAGCACAATGACAGCACCGTTAACTCACAGAAAGGTCCTTGATTTGATCCTTGGTTTGGATTTGGGGTCTTCCTTTGTGGGCAGTGGTGGAGCCAGACATTTTTCTCATGGGGTGGCCAGATGGGGACCACGAAAACACAGGGGTGGCCAGGAAAAATACATAACTTTTTACTTGAAGTTTCTGCAGATCTTTTTGTTTTTGTCATTTCCTTATGTCCTCATACAGGCAGAGATTACCTTATAAATATAGGTGCAGAACGGGGGCAGTGGACTGTTGTGGGGTCTGGGGGTCCTCCCACAGAAATTTTTGAACAAAATAGATGCKKTTTCCTGCATTCTGGTGTATTTTACCAGGTTGTTAAACAGACTTTTACCTACATAAATTAACACTTGATTTAATAAATATTTCAGAGACATAAATTAATCTAGTTCAATCATCCTGTTTTTAAACTCACTGCTAGAGCTGAGATAAGGTTAGTAATTAACATGACACAATTTATCATATCCAATGACTTTAGTGGTGCCTTTTACTTTTATATTGTTTATTGATTTATTTTTAATTGTAACACGTCATTGTGCCAAATAATGATGACCCTCAACTGCATTTTTAAAACTAATATTAATAATTTTACCCAATGAACATGTGCAATATTGATAATCACCAACAGTGAATTTAAAGATGTGTTTAACTTTTTATGATTTAGTGATGGGCCAACTCATAACCTAAAGGGACAGGGCATCGTGCAGCTTCAGAACATAAACGTTGTCACCATAAGTCAGACTGCATAGGTACATGTTCTGTGTATAAAGGAAATTATCACTTCTTCTTCAATGATCAAGCTTGGTGATGTTTCAAATTGTTAAACACTGCCACTCACTCTTCAGGAGGATTATTACACCCCTAAAGGTTGTTTCACTGTGGAAGGGCTGTGTACAGCAGGGTGGCCATAGATTTGTTTGTGGTGGCCATGGCCACCCCTGGCCACCCCCTGGCTCCGCCCCTGTGTGTGTGGTTTGCATGCTCTTGTGTTTGTTTGGGTTCTTTCCAGATAATCTGGTTTCCCTCCACAATCTAAAAACATGCATGTTTAGGCTGCTTTCTGGCTCAGGCCTTCCTTGCAAAAAATGATCTGTGTTCACAATGATATTTTCCTGGTTAAATAACTGTTAATGAACAAATAAAAAACCTCTGAGTAGGGATAGAAGTCATTACTTCTGCACAGTATTCTATCTATTTCACAATGTGGTTTTAATTAAAACTCCTGGCACCAATAATCTTTATGTTTTCTGAACATAATGTTTATAGCTGCCAGTGCAGATGCCAAGATGCCACAGAAACATGGCATTGGCTTCAGGCAAGCGAGTCTTTCACTCAGTCTGCTTCAGTCCAATGCCACACACAGAACGGGGTGAAATCCAGCTTCACCTTATCAGTAGTTTTTGTAATGATCGAACTCAAGCACTCCTTTTTTTTGTGCCAAAGGGAGTCCATATGCTTGTTAAAGAGCATGGGTGGCTTTCTGAGAGGAGGAGCTTTCCTAGACAGACATCAGTGTCCCTGGGGTGTTCTTATGGGGTTTCCGATTACCTCCTGTCCAAACCCCACAAGGCAGAATGGGGCATTGAAGTACAATTAGCTTGTGAGGGCTGGCCTAAGTGGCCCAATTATGAAATAAGGATGGGTCTTGCAGAAATGGGTGAAAAAATTATAAATCCCTCCCTCTCGAAACAAAATTCCAGAGTATTTTGTCAGGATGTATTCTGGCATTCAAAAAGCTCTGGTGT